CTTTTCATTATTCAACGATCCCGTAAATTCGTAGAAGGCTTTAGACAAGCCCGCTGGGAAGCTGTTGAGGAGATGCGATAGCCTCACAAGAATATACACGATAGCAGTGAAAAAACTGTTTCTGCAGAATGCGATTGGACACACTCGGTAACAGAGCGTAATAGATGACGCAGCACTGGGGAACAGGTGCTTCAAAAACGACAAAATGTATTAAAGCCTGTCGTCAAGGGGCCTCATGGAAAAACAATTCTAGGCTTTAGGGCGTGAGACCTCATTCAACTCAACTGATGATACACCTGTCAGCACGATTGCAACAGGGGATCCAGTCCTCAGTCAGACGGGAATGAGTGTCTTTCCTCCCGCAGGCAGAGCGAAGTTCTTAACAAGATCGAATATTAGGCACTAAAGGAGCTAAAGGCCGATAAAGAGCCCACTATTAGCACGGTGAAGCTCATGAGCACAATAGCTGCAGATGCTGACGGTCTCACAACCAGTCACAAAATCAATTGCTTAAGCTCGACATACGGTCGTGATAAGACGCACTATAGCGAACCAGAAGACATGTTTGTTAACTTACAATAACATCGACAGGTGTTCAGCGCGGATGATTACACACGGAACTTCGTCAACCAGTGCATGCGCAAAAGGCATGAGAGCAAGCCGCATCAGTTCAAAATTATTGCGATTGATCACGTATGCAAATTATCTAAAGCCGTCAGCACCTTCTCGCACCACTCGAAGTTTGAGTGGAAAACAGAGCAAAGAAAACAATCAGACGCCAAGTCACCAGGTCGAAGGAGCCAGTGACGCAACGGAAACGGCTACAGTATTTCAATGGATCTGTTGCAGTCGCGCAGAATTCAACTACGGCGGAGGAACCTGAATATTACGCGTGACGCATGATGGTCAAATATACAGCAGCAGTGGGGGGAAATGACGCCCACTCTCAGGTTGCGCCTCATTCTACGGCATCCAGCAACACCTCCAAGTTCGAGGATGCCGAGATTTTTCGCGAAGTCACAATTACGTGAGCCGCGAAGTAATTCATTCATGATTTCTCAGCCTGAATTCGATAGACAGGCATAGGAAGAGTGAAGGTGAATACCGCTTCCAACCACAGTATCAGCGAGCTAAATCCATGAGTCAGTATCACATTACTAATCACGTTACAACCGCAATGAAAACATGAATGGCGAGAAAGTCATTAAACGCTTCCTTGGTTCAGCACACTACCTCAGAACAAACGGAGAAATGAAGTCTGTACTAATAGTCTGACGTTCCACTAAACACTGGCTCTATCTGTGGGTGATTAGTGCTGAAGTACACAGACCACCATTTATATAGGAAGGGGATAGAAGGTACAAAGTAATCATGCGGACAATACAGTGCATAATTACAGGCAAATTAGTCACGGGAATGGGGGGAGGGGGGTGATAATATGCAGCTGGTCATTATTTATTACTGCATACTCCACTCTTCCCCGCAATATCTCCGTGCGCCCTATGACTCGGATTTTCGCTTTTATTGGCAATATTTTTGGGCGCGAAGCGCTTCAGTCCGCAAGACGTTGGGAAGTATTTTCCCTTCGTTTGTCTTCAACGTACGCGCAGATACA